TTTATCTTCTACTTGCTCTCTCTAGTTCCAGTTTTAGTATCTGCTTTTTAATTCTATCATGACAGACGTTCGACTGAATGGTTATCAGTGACTGCCAAGCCTTGATGCAAACACTGATAAGCTGCTCTGAGTTTGGAGAGAAAAGAAAAAAGAAGTCATCCAACAGAACAGATATGGAAGTTTTAGGAACACAGTCTGAGACATGAGTCATATAAAATTTTAAAGAGAAACTGCTATAATCTTCTTTAGATCAAAGTTATTTTCCTCAATGCTCAAATTATTCTTTTAAAGTACATAAATAAAATAAATAATTGTCCTCTCTGCTAATATCACTGCACTCCAAATTGCCTTTAGCAGAATCAGAGGAAATAACCATTGGATGAAGTCTCTTCCATTTGCAGAGGCAGAGATTACTCAGGCCCTATTTGATATTAAGAATCTCAACATAAATCCTGGAGTTTCGTATCAAGTCCTCCTAATTAATTAAATGTTATGCGTTACAAATTTTAAAATGTTAACTCCATCATTGATTTATACTCCATTTGTTCTGAAAATGTTTTTGTTTCCTAATTCATGTCAACTTAAAAAAAAAAAAAAAGAGGGATACCTGGGTACCTGGGTAGCTCAGCAGTTGAGCATCTGCCTTCAGCTTAGGGCCTGATCCCACAGTCCCAGGATTGAGTCCTACATTCATACTCATGAATAAGTAAATGAAATCTTAGAAAAAAATGAAAATAAAAATAAATAAAAAATTAAAAAGAGTAAATAAGTCTTCCCAGCTAAGTATTCAACTAATACTATTTAAAAATATGTTACTAAAAAATTCATCTTCTCATCTTAAGATCATAAATATTTTTAACTGACACCAAAAAAAAACTCCTTTTATAAGACAATTCAAATGACATTCAAAATTTGGTTTGTAAAATTTGATTTAAAGAAGATTTTAAAATATATATATATATCCACTTATTCATTCATTCCATAAACATTTAGTCTGCATGTCTTATATGCCAAACAACATGCTGCAGTCTCAAGAGCACATATGAAACATTCTTGACCTCCAGCTGCTCACACCTATACTATCACCTCTAATATCTTACATGCAAACACACACATACTCAGAATCTTGCTGCTTTTTGCTAGCGGCAGCAAATAATCACTTCCCAAGTTGGAGCTTCAAAGTTTAAAAATGAACTATTAATGTCATAACAGGACAATCGATTAAGTTTCAGTTTTTATCTTTAACAATCATTTGCTCCAATATATACTGAACTTCTGTTATGGGCAAATGGCTCATTGAGTTTTCAACTCTTCTACTGAAAAACTCTTTTAAAACAAGCTTGGAGAACTTTCATCTCTAGTGTTACACCATGCTACTGTAGGATGACTCAGGCTCAGTCAGTAAATTTTAAACATTTGTGAGTAATAGAACCCATGGAAAATCTGATAAAAAAAATATGTGCACATACAAGAAAATTTTCTATAAATTTCAGAAGTGGTTCAGGAAACCCCTAAGATCCCAATACAGACCATTCAGTAGGACCACGGGAATATCTGCTTACTGTGTGTGCAACCTCAGGGTGTGATCTTTAGTCACCTCTCATTCAAGTTAGTATTCCCTGTCCCAGAGCAGATTTCAAAAAGTATTTGCTGAATGAGCACCTTGGGAACATTGTTCTTATGAAGTTCTTATGTTATCTTCCTCTTCCCCCCAAAACTTCCAAATCCTCAATTTCCACTTATATACTTTTCTAAAACTTACTTGCTCAAGACTAATTTGACAGTCTAGGCAACTCTCTCTTTTCCAGACTCTACTTTCCTAATTTTCTCTCCTCCACCTCCTATCAACTCAACTGTTACAACAACCCATTTTCCCAGAGAGTAAAAACAATGCAGGCCAGCAACGAAACATTTCCAGGATACAGTTTCTGAGAAAGTATCCCTTGAGAAAAAGCAAAAAGATCCTTATAAGAAATACAAAGAGGTTATACCTCATTTTATCCAGGGATAAACTCATGGCAGCTCCCATACCCTACTTATACGTTAAATAATTAGAATTCAGAAGTAAAATGATTATATGGGTTACATTTCAACACTTACTCAAATTAAAAGGTGGTTAGCCTTTTTCTTACAGAAAGTCAGCTCAACTTATGAATTACTTTGACAAACAACACTGACTTCGTTATGAGGCTATATAACAACCCGAGAGCTAAATATGCACTTTTGAGATTTTGGCAATACTTATTTAAAGCATATGCACAATATAAAATACACTGAAAGTACATACCTGGTAACAACTGAAGCTTATGCCAAAAAAAATAGATAACTTAAAAATGATCAAGGAAATAATGATGGATTTTTAAAGTACCTTTTTTAAAAAAGATTTTATTTATTTATTTAATAGGGAGAAAGAGAGTGTGCAAGCAGGGGATGGAGCAGAGGCAGAGGGAGAGAGACTCCACACTGAACCTGGAGCTCGATGTGGAGCTTGATCTCATGACCCTGGGATCATGACCTGAGCCAAAATCAAGAGTTGGATGCTCAAGCGACTGAGCCACCCAGGGGCCCCAGATTTTAAAAATATTTTTAAAGGGTATTTGAACAAAAATGTTTGAGGGCCAACAGAGGCAGTATGATGATTAAGGATAAACCCATGAACAGATAGATCTTTGCGGTTACCCGAGTCCAAAATCCAGCCAAGAAAGGAAGAGAAAAATAGCAATGGGTTTGAAGACTCAGTATACTCTCCTGCCATCTTAGAACAGCCTCTCTTTTCCTAGCCTATAAAAACGCAATCAGAAGATAAGTGTGACTTCCTGCAAAGCCCTTTCTAACTGTGTGTTTCACCCTAAACAATGTCTGTTCTGCGTGCTGCCAAAAAGAATGCACTTATTATATCCACTGAACAATTTGTAAAGAAGGCAGATCTCATGTTACACATTCTTACTACACACACACACACACACACACACAAACAGGGAAACTGCTGGAGGTGATAGAGATATCTACTCAAGGTGGTAGTAGTATCATGGTGTCTGTATATGCTCAAACTTACCAAACTATATGTACATTAAACATATGGGTTTTTGTAATTTAATTATACCTCAATAAAGCTGTATTTTTTTAAAGAATGCACTCTAAACATATAGCCTAGCAAAGGCTATAGCAAAGCTCCTTGCTGAGAATTTCTTTTAAATATATTGATAAACGTTAATTTCTCAAAACCTTATTTTTGCTACTATAATTATGTGTGCCTCCTATATATATTTATTTTTGTTGAAAACAATAAAGCTATTGTTTTAAAAATAAATATTTACATGGATTAAATTTCTTAAATAAAAAAATGAAACTATAAATGCACTAGAAACATACAGGACAATATTTTTTCAATGGAAGGGATGTGGGTAAGGAAGATCATCCATAAAAAGAGTTGGTTTTCTTTTAAAGAAGCCATAAAGGAAAAGACTACAAATTTCATTTCATAAAACATATTACATTTTGAAAGGGTCTAAGTTAAAAGATCTATGATAGGCTGGAAGAAAATACTTGCTACATATATAGCAAATATATCTATAATATAAACAGTTAACACCTATAACATAAACAGTTCCTATAAATCAACAGGAAAATACTTTTTAGAAAGTATTTAAGAAGGAAAATAGCATGGGGCGTGTGGATGGTACAGTGGGTCAAGTGCCTGCCTTGGACTCAGGTCATGATCTCAGGGTCCTAAGATAGAATCCCACATTGGGCTCCCTGCTTAGCGGTAAGTCTGCTTTTCCCTCTCCCTCTGCACCCCCCTCCACCCTTGCTCCTGCTCTCTCTCTCAAATAAATAAAATCTTAAGAAAAAGAAAAATTGCACAAATGAACAAAAAATGCAAGCAGGCAATTCACAGAGAAAATAGCCCTTGCTATTTTCAGCAAAAAAAAAAATGTGTATTAAGTAAAAAATAATATATCATCTCTCACCCAACAAATTGCCAAAAATTTAAGATTAAATTTGTACATGATGTTGTTTTTAGTATTGAGAAATAGGCAGTCTTATCCTTTACAAAAGAGAAAGTAAATGGTACATTTTGGAAAGGTGATTTCACAGTATCTATCAAAATTAAAAATGGTTTGGTTGCATTTCTAGACATCTATTATATGGGAATGCTTACTTGTGAACCAAAACAAGCAATGCAGCATTGCTTATAAAGTGACACACATGTGCTAGTCACTTGGATAAGACTCCCCTAGATGACAAGTGCCTAAGCCTACAACATCTGGGTATTTCAGTGCTAATTGCTAGCTATGCAGAAGAGCATAAGCCGATGACTCCTCTTTTCACAGAGATTGAGTCATTCTCTACAATGAACAATCCTTGGAGAAACAGCCAATAGTTTACTGATGGGCTTTGTCAACTGGAGTCCAACCCCCAAAAGCTTCCACAGCAGCTGTCTAAGATCTCCAGAATTCATTTGGGAGCAAGAATTTTCCATCTGCTTTCCCAAACCTTATTGAATGCAATATAATGTAATGTAATATCATCATATGATCATACATTCCCATATAGTCTGACAATTTTGCTATTGTCCCGCATACATATGCAGTAGATGGATCATTTCTTGTTTTTATTCTTTAACAAAACATTAATATTAGTTCAGTTCACCAATCAATGCCAATCAATGAGTTGGGACTAACGCCAATAAGTGACACAGTAGTAAGAATGAGTAAGCAAGCTCTTATATTGCTTCTATGAGCAAAACAATTGATTCTCATGTTATTTATACCATTTCTAAAGGCAAGAAACAGAATCCCAGAAGAAGCATAAAATAGTGTTTAGATTCCCACAATCCTCCTTCGTTTATTTACAATTCCCTCCTTCATCCTTCCTGCCTGTCCAGATGGTTTTCTTCTTTGTTTCTCAAACTAAATTATGTTCCCTGCCTTAAGATGTTAAATACTTCAAAGGCCTTCCTCTTTAGTTCCTCACAAACAGAAGTCATAAACTCTTACCTTTGCCGGATTATGCTGGGGTTAGCTGTCACTAAATGACTTTTAGATCCAACATCTTTAGTGTATTCACTTGACAAAGGAGGAAGATTGCATCTGGAGAAACATAACATTTTAGAATGATTTGCAAACTTTTAAATCAAGTCTGTTATCAAGACCAATAGGAATTTTACTAGATCTAGCTCAATTCACAAATAATCACTTTCAGCACTCCTCCCTTTTGACAGTCATTACATGATCATCTATAACTATCTTTAAAACGCAGTCATAAAAACGAGTTCTCCTTTAGAAGAAAGAAAACGTCAACTAGAGAGTTAAGCAATCTATTAAAAAGGAGACATTAACGAGAATGAATTTATTCCATTCAAAATATTTTTGGGGTGGTAAGACAGGAAGTATTAGGCTTGAAACTAGAGCTCAGGAGGGTGTGGTACTCTAAGGACACAGGGCCTGCTGTGTTCTCTGCATACCCAGAAACCTCAAGACACAGGGAAGAATTGTATTTGCTATGGTTTTCTTTCAGTTCCCAAATTCTAAATTATAATAGTATATTCAGAGCAAACTCTGTCACCTAAATCCAACTCATACAAGTATACAGGTTTACTACTGGTGAAACACAGTGATTTGTTATCTAAATAAATGCAGTGATTCTCCACAGTCCCAGTTCAGCCAAGGCAAAGAGTACAGGTGATGTTCTCCTGGTGACAAAAATAACTGCCCCCCCCCCACACACACCACCCCAGCCCTGGTTGCTTTCCTTGGCCACAATGTCTTATGAATGTTTACAATGGAAAATATGGCAACTGCAAATCCAAATCCCATGGCTTTCTGCCAGTGGAACATTAGGCAAGTTAATTCATCTGCCTGGCCTTGATTTTCTCATTATACAAAATGAGGATAATGACTTTTCCTCTCTAATGAGGTTGTTGTAAAGATTATAGTAAGAAATGCATAAAATGTCCCTACCTTGATACCTCACACATAGTAAAAACTCAAAAACATCATGTATCAGAAATATATTTATAATTAAATATATCCTTTTTATGAAGACCCTAAATGAGTCTGTAGTTTGCATTATGTTTTCTTTTATTATTCTGTCCTAATTTCTCCTCTCCACCCCTAGCTCTAACTTGACTCCTACCACATCAGGGCATCTCTAACTCTTGACGACTTTAACAAAGTAAAATGCCATTTATTTGTAGGTAAAGAGATACAAATATTGAGGTATCTGCTATTCCTCCAACTATTAAATTTACCCTACAAATTTCCCCAGGACATGGAATTTTCCATGCACCCACTCAGCTGATCAGCTCAAGTTCCTTGATGTTATCTTGTATTTGCCCTGTGACTCCTACCACATCAGGGGATCTTGGGTGGAATTTGTCTCAGTTGATTTGGAATCTTCCTTTCATCTGCTCTATGGTAAAGAGATACTGGCTCTTCAGGCAGCTACCCACAGATTACTCAGCCAGTTGTTGACATTTGCTGGTGCCCAGTGAGAAAAACACAATGGTCATTGTAGGTGCTGGGGCGGAATCGAAGTCACAGGGCCTCCTCATGAGGTGTCTATAGTCTAACGGTCATACCATATCCTGTGTGGTTTCTGAGGACCCCGTGAGGGAGCGTACTTAAGCATTACCAGCCAGGCTCATCCGGCAGTGGTGCTGACCATGGTCTTGTGATTTAACTGATCTTTGCAAAGACGATGGTGACTTCCAGGATAAAACATAAGATAAAATTTGGACATTTATGTCTTAAGGAAGCTTTGATCTTGATGGTCCTTCATAACATTCAAGAATCAAACACATTATATCAAAACCGTAACCTCTAAATACTGCTGAGGAATGCAATCAACCTGTTTTGTCATTATTAATGAAATGGTCAGTTTTAATGAATAAATACTTTGTTTTTCTATGTGTTCCTTGTAAGTTGGCTTATATGTCTGAGTTCCTTCATACCTTCTATCACACAATAAAAGCTCAAGAAAAACTTCTGGATACTGATGATCAACACAGGGAAATGCTAAAACAATTACGATAACATTTCATAAATACATTTCTGGGAAATAATGACACTCTATTTTGGTGTAAATATCTATCTTAAGTTCTTCAAGTGCAAATATCTGTGACATTTCCTTGTAGCTCTTTTTTTAGAAAAAGTACACTGCAATTTTAGCTCCTTGATTACTAAGTTGATAACTACATAGGTTTACATAAAAGGCAAATTTAATAAAAGATTGTTTCTAATAAGGCATAATTGTGTAAAAGTGTTTCAAACTTTGCATTATCACCTTATTGGTACAATTAACAGATATTAATGGCTAATGTGTCTTAGTAACTGTGCTCATGATCCAAAAGGATGTGATCACAGAATTGATGACAGATGACTATTCTTTGAATTGGCACATAGAGGTGGCAGGGGAATGGGCTTGGTGAAGAGGAATCTTCAAATAGAAAAAAATCATAAAATTACTTTTAAAATGTTATGCATATCATTCATCATCAGGGAACTACAAATCAAAACTACAATGAGATATGACCTCATACTGTCAGAAGGACTAAAATCAACACAAGAAACAACAGGTGTTGGTGAAGATGCAGAGAAAGGGGAACCCCCTTGCAAAGTTGGTAGGAATACAAACTAGTGCAGCCACTCTGGAAAACAGTGTGGAGGTTCCTCATAAAGTTAAAAATAGAGCTACCCTATGACCCAGCAATTATACTAACTAGGTATTTACCCCAAGAATACAAAAGCACAAATTCAAAGGGATACATGCACCCCAATGTTTATAGTAGCATTACTTATAATAGCCAAAACATCAAAACAGCCCACGTGTCCATAATTGATGAATGGATAAAGAAGTGATATGTGTGTGTGTGCGCGCACACACACACACACACACAATGGAATATTACTCAGTCATCAAAAAGAATGAAATCTTGCCATTTGCAGTGACATGGATAGAGCTAGAAAGGATTGTGCTAGGTGAAATAAATCAGTCAGAGAAGGAGAAATACCATATGATTTCACTCATATGTGGAATTCAGAAGACAAAACAAATGAGTAAAGGGAAAAAGGTGGGGGGCAAACCAGGAATCAGACTCTTAACCGTAGAGAACAAACAGATGGTTGCCAGAGGGGAGGCAGATAGGGGGATGGGTTGAATAGATGATGAAGACTGAAAGGGGCACTTGTTATGATGAGCACCAGGTGTTTGTGGAAGTGCCGAATCACTGTATTATACATCTAAAACTAGCATTACACTTTATGATAACTAACTGGAATTTAAATAAAAACTTTAATGTGTCACACATATTTAAGTATGCAAAACACACATTTGAGCATAATTCCAAGGCACCAAAATTATGTTGCCCTCACTTGTATCCCTGAGCCACCCAAGTCATCTTCAGGATGCAATCATGTTACCTCTGTCTTACAGTCCTTCCAGGTAAATTTTATTTTAAATTTAATATTATTTTAAAAACAATATTATATTATTTTTAGAGTGTTATTTTGCATTATAGAGCAAACGTTTACCTTGAAAAACAAGAAATAGATTTTTAACATTAGAAAATGTACTTGAAAATGTCTAGGCAAAGAAAATTACAATACTGTTATATCCTAATACTGAAGAACATTTTGAACTGTAATGTAATGTATCACTATGTGCTGGTAAGGCTATCTTTCTATCTGTTCTCCCACTGTAACTCTCCATGCACCCTATAGTCTAAGAGCAGACGTACTACCAGCTTTCTAATCATATGTACTCATTAAATGTTTAATTTCAAATGTATGAAACTACCTCAATTTTCTCAAGGTGCCCCCCGAAATGTGTATGAAGCAATCATTTATAAGTATAACCATAAATGGGGCAGCCCTGGTGGCGCAGCAGTTTAGTGCTGCCTGCAGCCTGGGGTGTGATCCTGGAGACTTGGAATCGAGTCCCATGTTGGGCTCCCTGCATGGAGCCTGCTTCCCCCTCTGCCTGTATCTCTTCCTCTCTGTGTCTCTCATGAATAAATAAAATCTTTAAAAAAAAAGTATTTCCAAAAATGGTCAAATGAGAATAGTTTATAAACAATTTATAACAATTACTCCCATATTGTAAACCATAAATGAGGCTTTTTAAAAATTCAAATATGTTATGAAAATGGCCCTATTCTTTGCAGGAATTCAAGATGGTGGCACATGAAGACCCTGAACTGACCTCCTTCCATTGATACAACAAATCTATGGCTATCTCTAGAATAATTCTCCCTGGAAAAGACCTCAAAATAAGCTGAATAGCAACTCCACAACAAAAAGATAAAAGGGCCAAATCAAGAAAGGTAGAAGAGGCAGAGACATGGTCTCATCAAAAACCCCACTACTGGCATGGCAGGGATGGATCTCACAAATACAGATTATATCCCTAAGGAGCAAAGTATTTGATCCTCATATCATGCACCCCAACCCTTGGGACCTGCACCAGGGAGACAAGGCCCCAAAACATCTGGCTTTGAAAACCAGCATGGGGACACCTGGGTGGCTCAGTGGTTGAGCATCTCCCTTTGGCTCAGGTCATGATCACGGAGTCCTGGGACTAAGTCCTACATCAGGCTCCCCGGAGGGAGCCTGTTTCTCCCTGTGCCTATGTCTCTGCCTCTCTCTCTCTGTGTGTCTCTCATGAATAAATAAACAAAATCTTTAAAAAAGAAAGAAAGAGAAAGAAAGAAAGAAGAAAGAAAGAAAGAAAGAAAGAAAGAAAGAAAGAAAGAAAGAAAGAAAGAAAGAAAGAAAGAAAGAAAGAAAGAAAGAAAACCACCATGACTTACACCTAGAAGACTCAAAGTACTGTGAGAAGCTGAGACTTTCATCTTAAAAGGGCTCATGTGCAGGTCACTTACTCTGGGTACCTGTACAAAAACAGTAAGTTTAAAAGCACCTAGACCTTTTGTGAAAGAAATTAATTGGCTAATCTTAAAGCACCTGCCAGAAGGGCAGGCGTCTGCTGGAACTCTCTCCAGGAATGGAGATGCTGCTATGTGGCATTTTTGCACTCTCCTACCTTGCTGGTGCTGCTTCCCCTAGAATGGTGCTCCCATTCTCCCCTTTAAAAGATGCAAAATGCCAAACTTAGCAAGTGTGTTTGCCAGTATCTCAGCACTCATTTGCCCTCCTAAAGCCTGTGGAAAGACATGCACCAGTCTGGCATTCTCCTGTGGACCCATGTCACCAAAGCCAGCAGGTGCATTCAGAACACACAAGTGATGCCCCTTAAACATATGTCTCTGAGCCAAGGGGAACTTATATATCTAGGCCCCACAAGTTTGAAACAATTAGAGAAACAGTTCCTGGCAGGCTACCACTCCCTGGTCAGATATAGACAGCAGACTAAGACACACCCCCATCTTCCTATGACCATTCCTTCAAGACTGGGAGACACACTGTTTGACATTATACATAGAAACAGACACAGAGAGTAAAGCAAAATGAGGAAAAGAGATACATTCTCCAGTGGAAAGAACAAGATAAAACCCCGGAAAATACCTTCATTAAATGGAGATAAGTAATTTACCTGATAATGTTCAAAGTAATGATCACAAAGATGCTCACCAATCTCAAGAGTATGGATGAACACAGAAAGGCTTCAACAAAGGGATATAAAATATAAGAAAGTACCAGACAGAAGTCACAGAGCTGAATACACTAACTAAACTGAAAAATACAGTAAAGGTGTTCAACAGAAGATGAGATTAAACAGAAGGAAGGATCAGTGACCTGAAAGACAAGACAGTGCTCATCAAAACAGAGCAACAGGAAGACCAAAAAAAAAAAAAAAAAAAAAGAAGCAAAAACAAACAAAACAAACCTTAAGTGAAGATAGCTTAAGGAACTTCTGAGACAATATCAAACAGATCAACATACGCATAATAGGGGTACCAGAAGGAAAAGAGAAAGAGATAGAAAACTTATTTAAAGAAATAATTGCTGAAAACTTCCCTAACCTGGGGAAGGAGGAAACTGACATTCAGATTTAGAAAGCCCACCTAAAGAGACCCACACATCAGAACACATTATAATTAAAATGTCAAAAATTAAAGATGGAACCTTACAGAATCTTAAAGCAGCAAGAGAAAAAAAAAATGTGTTACGTATAAGGGAATGCCCATAAGACTACATGCAGATTTTCAACAGAAACCTTGCAGATCAGAGGGAGTGGTAGGATGCATTCAAAGTGCTAAAGCAAAAACTGGCAATCAAGATTTTACCTGGCAAGGTCATCATTCAACTGTCAACTGTAGGAGACATAGTTTTCCAGACAAGCAAAAAAAGGCCACCACTAAACTGGCCTTAAAAGCAATGTTAAAGGGACTTCTTTAAACTGAAGGGAGAGACGCCTGGGTGGCTCAGTTGGTTGAGCAACTGCCTTCAGCTCAGGGTATGATCCCGGGGTCCTGGGATCGAAGTCCCCTGTTGGGCTTTCCACAGGGAGCCTACTTCTCTTTCTGCCTATGTCTCTGCCTCTCTCTCTGTGTTCCTCATGAATAAATAAATAAAATCTTTAAAAAATAAGTAAGTACATAAGGGAAGGGAACCTATTAGGAACAAGGAAACATATAAAACTAAAAATGTCACTGGTAAAGGAAAATATATAATAAAGTTATCATGAAGGTTAAAATATAAAAATAGTAAAAATAACTATAATTACAATAATTAGTTGGAGGATACATGAAATTAAAGTATGTAAAACATGACATCAAAAACAAAACATGGATGGAGGAGTAAAAATGTAGGATTTTAGTACATGTTCAAACTTAACTTGACATCGACTTAAAATAGACTAGTGGGTATAATAGGCTGAGACCTGTAAGCCTCATGGTAACCACAAAGCAAAAACCTAGAGGAGATACACAAAAAAATTATGAGAATGGAATCTAAACTAGGTACTGAAGAAAGACATAAAACCCTAAGGGAAGAGAGCAAGGTAAGAAGAAACAAGGAACAACTATAAAACAGCCAGAAAACAATGAACTAAATGCCAAAAGTACATACCTTTCCATAATTACCTTAAACATAAGTGGACTAATTCTTCAATCAAAAGACATAGAGTGTCCATCAATGGATGAATAAAGAAGATGAAGTCTATATGCAATGGAATACTACTCAGTCATAAGAAAGAATGAAATCTCACTATTTGCCACAACGGAAATGGACTCTGAAGATATTATAGTAAGTGAAATAATCCACAGAGAAAGGTAAATAGTGTGATTTCCCTTATATGTGGAATCTAAAACAGGAATCAAACAAAACAAAACAAAATTCAGAAGTGGAGAGAACAGAGTGGTGGTTCCTAGAAGGGATGGGGTGGGAGTAAGAGTAAACTAATATAATGTTATATGTTAATTATAGTTCAATTTAAAAAAAAAAGAAAATTGTCTATTCTGGAAATTAAATCAGAGGTGCGTGTACACATAGCTCTAATTCTTTGAATTCTCAATCTTCACCTCTCTCATTATTCTATGAACATTATGCTTAATACTGTGCTGTGCACCCTAACCACGCACACTCATCAATTCTGAATTGTTGATTTTATAGAATGCAAATTTAGCCTTGTTTATTTGCAAAAAGTGAATATAACTCCTTAAAAGCTTAGGCTTGGTCTCTGACATGTTAAGTTTAAAATATGCATCTTCCTAAATATAGTGACACACACATATACCACTGAGGAATAATATAAAAATATGTTTATTTTACGGCCTCCTGACAGACTATATTAAGACCTCCTGAAATCACTTAAGTTCCCTGAATCTGTGAGTATAATAACCACTCCTCCTTGTTCCTTACAGTGTTTTTGGAAAGAGCAAATAAACATACTTGAGAACAAGCTGAAAATATAAACTAGACTACGTGAACTGTTACAATGACATAGTATTCATATAATCACAGATAGAACCAGTTTCTACAAAGGAAAGGCTTGAGGAATTTTCTGCTCCCACTCCCTTATATGCTGAGACCCAGCAACGGTAAAATGACACGCCATAGGTCACAGTGCTAGTTTGTGACAAGGGCTGTCCCCTTCCCTCTGTGTTGTTCCCTGGCTCCTCAGCCTCTACGTCATACCACTATATTGGAGTGGGGGCCTGAATTTGGCCGGGGGCCTTTGCTCTTTTCATCTATCTAAACTCTCCAGGTGATTGTGGCCACTTCCATAGCTAAAATATCTCCCCATCCTCATCTCACTGCACTGTGGCAGCACTTGGTGTCTTTCCAACATTAGAGCCTCAGAGAGACTCTTCCTGTGTTCAGACTGAAGTGGAGACAGGATTCACACTCCACATACCACTTCTCAGAAGTTCCTTGATCCCTCACCATCTGTCTTTGAATTATCCCTATCAGAGCACTAGCACATCTCCAGGTTCTACAAGCAAGACACAATAATTTAACATACCATTTCTATACTCAGCTAACACCTAATACCTAGTAGCAGCTCAATAAACAGATTGACTTATTGACTTACAAGGACTACTTTTTTATTTTCTACATTTTCCTATCGTTTATATCGCAATAATAACAATTGTAATGGAGAGGAAAACACATTTCTACACTGGAAAAACCATGGCAGGGCACTTCCTTGAAGGAAAGATACAAAAAGACCTCTCCACTCTCTACAGGCTTCACCAGTGAGATAAAAAGTCTTTTACGAAGTCCAACTCCCATTCTCTGAGTGGGAAATTGGCCCTCCCCCAAGTATATGGCTTCCACTGAAACACTGTCAACTAGGGTCTTCACCCTTGCCTGCTCCACTGAGCTCAAAACTCAGAGGTGGCTTAGTGTTCTCTTAGCCATATTGGACCACTTCTTAACTATTCTCTATTTGTCCTTAAAAATGATCACAAAATCCAAATCCCATGCTGCCACCCCCTTCCTTGGCTCAGCTTTCTTCCCTCTGTGTTACTGCAGGCTTTAGCCTTCTGACCCTGGAGCCTCTGGCACCTGGGTCATGGTCATTCCCATGTCAGTGAGACTTTGGGGCCCACCTGAAAGAATCCTCCACAACATAGCTTCAAAGCTCCTATGCTTCTTCAATTACAAATGTCTTCTTTTTCTGCCACAGATTGGTCATCCCCTCAACAAACTGAGTTCTGAAATCATACACTCCAGTGGGCCACACTTTGACATTAGTTCTTATTATCCCATCTGTCCCATCACCCACTCCCTCCAGGTTCTGAGTGACCCTGTTCTTTGACCCTATTGATGTCTTTCCTCTCGTTTATGCCTCTCAGTGCCCACTTCCTATATAGGTCAGACTTCAAGGTATGTCACCCTACGCTCTCTCTAGCCAGGATCCTCCATGATGTCACTCAGCTCCTTCTTTCCCTCTCACCTGGACAACCCCAAACCCATGTCAATCCAATCATTTGCTATCTTCACTTCGGGTCAAAATCACCCAACAGTGCAGGCTGGTGCCACTACAGGTATATGGTCTCTACCCCTGACTGGATGCATCTTAGCAGTTTTTTTACACATCCCTGCAGAAGCGTCCTGTTATCCCCTCCAAGTGACAGACATCTCACCCCTCTGCTCAGTACCTTAACCAAGCTTCCTTGCTGCTCAAAAGTTATGGCCCCTTCCTCCTCCCAGCCATACACAGATCAGATCTATCTTCAAATCCCACTTGCTACTCCAAAATGCTTTTGTGAAAAACAAAAAAGTAAAGGGTGTAGAGTGAAATGAATAAGTGAAAATATTTGTTTATAGACAATTTTCAAATCTAAAACAAAATCTAAGTGTTTCTGCTCTGGGGTCTCCCCATGATGTCTGAGCCCTTCTTGGCTTTGTACTTTCTTGGAGCATTTCCCTCGCTCCCGGGGCCCTCTCCTAAATTCACTTGTATGTGAATGAACTTGAAGGGAAGCTAAAGAGCAGTTACAATTGATTAATCACAAGTGACTAGTTTTGAAAGGCCCCAGGGCTTGTGGGAGGGGGTGGGGAAGAGGAGAGAAGGCAGAGGCCGCGCGGTGGGTGCTCTCTCTTACCGCATGACAAAATTTGCTTCATCTATTTGACGGCCACAGCCACTCTTCTTCAGAATCCCACCATTTCCCACCACCGCGCATTTCTTCAAGGGCAGCTGGAATGGGGTTGCCTAGCAACAGAAAACAAGGCGGGTTTTCACTGCAGAGAACACACAACGGCTCACAAAATCATTGTTTATAGCAGGCCCGTTGGAGGAATTTGATTGAAGACTGGGCAGACCAAAAGAGCATGGAGAAAGGAAGATGCCAAGAAGTTTGTAAGGAATAAGTTGGCCTGTTCCTTTGAAACTAAAAAAAAAGAAATAATAAAATAAAATAAAATAAAATAAAATAATAAAATAAAATAAAATAAAAATAAAAATAAAAATAAAAATAAAAATTAATTCCCTGAAGTGTATTTAAATATAACATACATTGTATCAAATAGACCGTGTACATTATAGAGAGTGGCTGCTAGGGCAAAGAGGAAAAATCCATACTAAACAGGATTAGTTCTCAAGGCATTCAACTGGGAACAAGCGCCAATGAGTTCTATCCCCCATCTGAATGCAATTTCACTCATTCATACAATCTGCAATTCACTCAACAAATGTGGCTGTTGGGGGGAGGGTAAAATACAAAAAGATAGAAAAAGTCACAGGCCTGAGGATTCCCCATTGGGGTTCTGGGGAGACTGTGAACACAGACACTTATACAACAGACTCTAAAGCAAAGGTCGTAGAGGACGTATGCTCTAAGTGCTGCGGAGAATCCCACACAAGAAGACAGGGCAGATTTCTGCCAAGCCAACTCAGGGAAAGCTTTCTCATTCGAGATGAATCTTAAAGGATGAATAGGATTTTGCCGGGGCAGAGAACACAGTATAAACAAAGGCACAAAGTACGCTGAAAGCAAATGCTGTGTTTATGAGAAAATGTACACTCCGGGTGGGTCTGTCTAGAACTCAGGAGGTGCTACAGGGCAAGTGACTTGTGCAAGCCAGACAGCATGTGACTTTCTTTCTGCAAACATTGAATTGGACTGCAAAGAAAATGTGCAGTGTACCTGAGTGTTCCCTGGAGTGCTATTTATAGTACCCAGGACTCTCAAAACCTACCAATTGCCCCTGAAAGTGAAATGTGTCATTCAGTGTCTTTTAGCTGGCTCAGCAAGAACCACCAGGTATGGGATCTCCCACTAGCTCAAACAACGCCTATTGGCGGCAGTTCTTTGGGGGAAGACCTTACATCTACATAACTGGTATATAAAATAACTATTCTGATATAAGTAGGCCATTCTGGATGAATTTGAAGCAAGTATGGATTATACCAAAGAATAAATGGAATACATGAATATATATTGTAAGGGCTTCATGGAGGCACAAAGAAATTAAACCAGAAAAATAAAATTCCAAGAGTCTGTGAGGGGCAGCCCGGGTGGGCGCCGGCTTCAGCCCAGGGTGTGATCCTGGAGACCCCGGGATCAAGTCCCACGTCAGGCTCCCTGCATGGAGCCTGCTTCTCCCCCTTTGTGTCTCTCATGAATGGATAAGTAAAGTTTTTAAAATAAATAAATAAATAAATAAATAAATAAATAAATAAATAAATAGTGTGAGATCACTAGTAGCTGAGGTAGGCACTTAATGCAGCAAAAGAAAAATTTTTACTTCCTCTATTTCTAGTATGTAAAAGGAACACCTAGTACTATGAAAGTATAGTTAATAAAGTTACAGTACTTAAACTATAAAGTCGAAGTGTTTGCCAGTAGACAATTAGGAATTCGTTGCATGGGGGCACTTGGGTGGCTCAGTGGTTGAGCATATGCCTTTGGCTCAGGTCATGATCCTGGGGTCTCAGAATCAAGTCGCACATCAGGCTCCCTGTGAGGAGCCTGCTTCTCCATTTGCCTGTGTCTCTGCCTCTCTCTCTCTCTCTCTCTCTCTCTCTCAAATAAATAAAATCTTTAAAACTTAATTAATTTAATTAAAAAATAAGAATAACAACATTTAGTTTGCCTTGTAAAAGCCAACTTAAAATTCCTGCCCCACAGGTTGTTAAAGAGAGTTCTTGACTGGCAATCCCAGGCCCCCAGGGAAGAATCTGGGCCCAGAAGCAGCATTATCTGGGAAGCAACAGTAGTAGCAGCAGCAACATAAAGCCTGGGCAACTCAGTCAGTTGGCCGACCAGCTCTTGGTTTCAGGTCATGACTACAGGGTCATGAGATCGAGACCAGAGTCAGGCTTGAGATTCTCTCTCTCCTTCTCTGCCTCTCCTTTCAGTCGTATTCACTCTCTCTCTCCCTCTTAAATAAATAAATAAATAAATAAATAAATAAATAAATAAATAAATAAATAAATATTAAAAAAAAAAAAAGCTGGGTGCCTCCTACCTCCTAATTTCCAGGCTGTGGGACTGTGGGATTGTAGGACCCCTCAGTGTTCCTTTTTCTTTTTTTTTTTTTTTTTTTTTTGTATTTAAAGAAAATATTTTTTATTGTTTTTTTTTATTTTATAAATTAATTTTTATTGGTGTTCAATTTACCAACATACAGAATAACACCCAGTGCTCATCCCGTCAAGTGTACCCCTCAGTGCCCGTCACCCATTCACCCCCACCCCCCGCCCTCCTCCCCCTCCACCACCCCTAGTTCATTTCCCAGAGTTAGAAGTCTTTATGTTCTGTCTCCCTTTCTGATATTTCTCACACATTTCTTCTCCCTTCCCTTATATTCCCTTTCACTATTATTCATATTCCCCAAATGAATGAGAACATACACTGTTTGTCCTTCTCCGGTTACTGTGGCCAAGTTCAAAAAGGGTGTTGCCTGAGTTCTCCTCTGGGATTTTGATGGAATCTTGTCTCACATTTAGATCTTTCATCTATTTTGAGTTTATCTTTGTGTATGGTGCAAGAGAGTGGTCCAGTTTCATTCTTCTGCATGTGGATGTCCAATTTTCCCAGCACCATTTATTGAAGAGACTGTCTTTCTTCCAGTGGATCGTCTTTCCTCCTTTATCGTATATTAGTTGACCATAAAGTTCAGGGTCCACTTCTGGGTTCTCTGTTCTGTTCCATTGATCTATATGTCTGTTTTTGTGCCAGTACCACACTGTCTTGATGAACACAGGTTTATAGTACAACCTGAAATCTGGCATTGTGATGCCCCCAGATATGGTTTTCTTTTTTAAAATTCCCCTGGCTGTTTGGGGTCTTTTCTGATTCCACACAAATCTTAAAATAATTTGTTCTAAGTCTCTGAAGAAAGTCCATGGTATTTTGATAGGGATTGCATTATACGTGTAAATTGCCCTGGGTAGCATTGACATTTTCACAATATTAATTCTGCCAATCCATGAGCATGGAATATTTTTCCATCTCTTTGTGTCTTCCTCAATTTCTTTCAGAAGTGTTCTATAGTTTTTAGGGTATATTTTGAGAACCATTTGAATGGTAAATGGTTCTCCAACCTTTTATTTTCAGGTTGTAGGTGTCCTTCTGTCTAAAATGAGTCTCTTGTAGACAGCAAATAGATGGGTCCTGCTTTTTTATCCAGTTTGAAACCCTGCGCCTTTTGATGGGGTCATTAAGCCCATTCACGTTCAGAGTTACTATTGACAGATATGAGTTTAGTGTCATCATGATATCTATTTAGTCCTTGTTTTTGTGGATTGTTCCACTGAACTTCTTCTTAAAGGGGAATTTTAAGAGTCCCCCTTAAAATTTCTTGCAGAGCTGGTTTGGAGGTCACATATTCTTTCAGTTCCTGCCTGTCTTGGAAGCTCTTTATCTCTCCTTCCATTTTGAATGAGAGCCTTGCTGGATAAAGTATTCTTGGTTGCATGTTCTTCTCATTTAGGACCCTGAATATATCCTGCCAGCCCTTTCTGGCCTGCCAGGTCTCTGTGGAGAGGTCTGCTGTTACCCTAATATTCCTCCCCATGAAAGTCAGGGACTTCTTGTCTCTTGCTGCTTTAAGGATCTTCTCTTTATCTTTGGAATTTGCAAGCTTCATTATTAAATGTCGAGGTGTTGAAGGGTTTTTATTGATTTTAGGGGGGGATCTCTCTATTTCCTGGATCTGAATGCCTGTTTCCCTTCCCAGATTGGGAAAGTTTTCAGCTAGGATTTGTTCAAATACATATTCTGGCCCTCTGTCCCTTTCGGCGCCCTCGGGAACCCCAATTAAACATAGGTTTTTCTTCCTTAGGCTGTCATTTATTTCCCTTAATCTGTCTTCATGGTCCTTCCTTAATTGATTGTCTCTTTTTTCCTCAGTTTCCCTCTTTGCCATTAACTTGTCTTCTATGTCACTCACTCGTTCTTCCCCCTCGTTAACCCTCGTCGTTAGGATTTCTAGTTTGGATTGCATCTCATTCAATTGATTTTTAATTTCTGCCTGATTGGATCTAAATTCTGCAGTCATGAAGTCTCGTGAGTCCTTAATGCTTTTTTCTAGAGCCACCAGTAGCTGTAGAATAGTGCTTCTGAATTGGCTTTCTGACATTGAAGTGTAATCCAGATTTTGTAACTCTGTGGGAGAGAGGGCTGTTTCTGATTCTTTCTTTTGAAGTGAGGTTTTCCTTCTAGTCATTTTGCTCAGTGCAGAGTGGCCAAAAACAAGTTGTATTGGAACACGGGGGAGTATCACTGGTCCGTCTAGCTGGTCTTCTGGGGGAGGGGCCTGCTGTGCTGATTTTCAGGTGTTAGCACTTGGGGGAGCTGCTCTGCCCCTGCCTGCTGCAGGGCTCAGCGGGGGTTGTTTACCCCGTGGGGCCCCAGGAGGAACAGCCGCAGTTGCTATGGCAACTCTGGAAGCCTGGATTCAGCTCCCACAGTAACTACGGGGCTCTCCGTCTGCAGGGCCTGGAGGCTCCGGGGCGGGGCCGCTGATCTGCTCAGCTCGGGGCAGAAGCGTCCTCGCTGTCCTGGGCCTTCCCGGCCTCTGCCTGTCCCGGGGGAGGCCGGATCCTGGGCTGTGTCCCGGCGCCCTGTGCTCCGGGGCCTGCGCTGTTGGATTCGCGCTCCCGCCCCGCAGCCCCCTCCGCGGAGCCGCCGCCCGAGCCCCTCCGAGCTGCTCCGGTCCCACGGTGAGCGCTGCAGCCCTAGGGAGCTCGGAGCACTCTCCTGCGCT